AAAAAAAAAAAAGTTAAAACAATATATTTTTATATCATAATTTCAATGGAATACAAAACCTATACCTTTATATTTTCCATTTTGTTATTGATATTACAAATATCATATATTGTGTGTCTATTAACAGATGTGTGAAGATTTTAAGTCGTGTTTTTTTATATTTACAGAAGATGTTTAAGGGATTTATGCACCATCATTATAATAGAATTCTATATGTGCCTCTATATTTACATTGAACAGAGAGCTTTATATACTTTTTTTTTTTTGAGACAGCGTCTTGCTGTCACCCAGGCTGGAGTGCAGTGGCAGGATCTTGGCTCACTACAACCTTTGCTTCCCACTTCCAAGCAATTCTCCTGCCTCAGCGTCCTAAGTAACTGGGATTACAGGAGCGAGCCACCATGCCCGGCTAATTTTTGTGTATATTTAGTAGAGACAGGGTTTCAGCATTTTGGTCAGGCTGGTGTCAAACTCCTGACCTCAGGTGATCTGCCCTCCTTGGCCTCCCAAAGTGCTGAGATTATAGGAGAGCACCACCGTGCCCGTCCTATATACGTTTTTATGATGCTCTCCAGCATGATTTTTCCTTTAGCATAATGGACTCATCTTAGGATTTCTTTTATTTATATGCAGTCTCATTATGTTGTTCAGGCTAATCTTAAACTCCTGGTCTCAAGTGATCTGTCTTGACCTCCTAATGCTATAGGATTACAAGTATGAGCTACTGTGCCTGGCCACCATGTAGCATTTGTTGTAGGACTGTGCTAGTGGTAATGAACTACCTCACCTTTCATTTTGGAAAGTCTTTATTTTTATCTTGTTTTGAAGTAAAATAATTTTGAATAAAGTATTATTGTTTTTTTTTTTTTTTTTTTGGAGACAGAGTCTCATTTTGCTGCCAAGGCTGGAGTGCAGTGGCATGGTCTCAGATCACTGCAACCTCCACCTCCCAGGTTCAAATGATTCTCCTGCCTCAGCCTCCCAATTACCTGGGACTACAGCCACACCACCACACTGGCTAATTTTTTTGTGTGTGTTTTTAGTAGAGACAGGATGATACTGTGTTAGCCACGATGGTCTCAATCTTCTGATCTCTTAATCCACCCTCCTCAGCCTCCCAAAGTGCTGGGATTACAGTCGTGAGCCACGGTGCCAGGCAGAATTTTTTTATTACATCAAAATTGGAAAATTTCTCAGCCTTTGTTGTCTTTAAGTAATCTCTGTATTACTGTTTTCTCATATTCTTCTTCTAAGATTTCTTTTATAAATATGTTGATGTACTTTATGGTGTCCAATAAGCTTTACATTGCATGTTTACTGTTTGGCAATTTTATATTACTGTGTTATATATTTTAGAATATGCCACCTCATCAGTTAATTGAGTTTTGATGTTTTAGTTTATAATAATGTATGACAGTATTGACGTCTGTACAATTTAATAATGTGTAGAACAAAATCAAATATAAATCACCTATCTGTTGCCAATATAGTTATCCTTATGTTTGTTTGCCTGTATAAATATTATCTTTCTATTTTTTATGACTTGTATATTTTTTGGATAGGTTTGTCGTGAATAGTTGTTAAATCTTTTCTAGGTCAGCAGTCATAAGAATCATTTGTGAATTTATATTATTTTTGCATGGGCAAAAAATTTTGGATTTAACTTTTTTTTTTTTTTTTGAGATGAAGTCTCACACCGTCTCCTGGGTTGGAGTGCAGTGGTGTGATCTCTGCTCACTGCAACCTCCACTTCCTGGGTTTAAGAGATTCTTCTGCCTCAGCCTCCCGAGTAGCTGGGATTACAGGCCACCACCACACCCTGCTAATTTTTTTGTATTTTTAGTAGAGGAAAAGTTTCACTATGTTGGCCAGGCAGATCTCGAACTCCTGACCATGTGATTCATCCACCTCCACTTCCCAAAGTGCTGGGATTACAGGTGTGAGCCACAATGTCTGGCCAATAATTTAAAAACAATCAGAACTTTATTTGTTAGGTATTATTGTTCATTTTTACTTTTCAAAAAACATATAACAATATTGACAATAAAATAATTTTAAATATTTAGTTTAGTCATATTAATTGTATTGACACTGCTGTGCAACGTATCTCTAGAATGGTTTTATTTTGCAAAGCTAAATCTCAATACACATTGAACAACGATCAGTTTTTTTCATTTCCTAGTGCTTTTTAAGTTCCACTCTGTTTTCTGTTTTTAAGAAAGAGTGCAACTGCTACATATATCTCATTCAATCTTTGACTTTGTGACTGACTCATTTCATATTGCACAATGTCATCAAGCTTTATAGTTGTTAAGATTATTTTCTGCTTATTAAATTCTGGGTGATATTTCAGTATTTTTTTGTTTCAAATTATGTTTACTGAATGATTTGGTGACAAAAATTTGATTGCTTTTAGCTATTGGCTTTCAGTAAAAACACTGCAATAATTATAGGTATGCAAATAGCTCTTTATATAACCATATATGTGACAGTTTATATGTGCTGCATTCTTTTTTCTACTTTTCTACATTTATATTAATAGTAAGTTGTTTTCATTCTGTAGCTTTGTAATTCGTTTTGAAATCAGGAATTGTAATGCCTTCAACATTTTTTT